GGGTTTTGAAAAAAGTGGAACCGGGTTTCGATCCCCATCCCTACATAGTAATGGATTAACACTTATTACTGACTTATGAGGCGAGTTCCAGCACTTCAGTCCACCTTAAAAAGTACAGTAGCTGAGGGGCAGGGCTAAAAGCGAGCCTGCATTATTCATGGGGAGGCAGGTCTGGTAGGTGTCACCCTGCAGAACAAAAACACACATGAAACACCAGCTCTTGTGTCTGTCTGAGCTTCTGCCACCCTCACACACACACCAGCCTCCTGTCTCTGCACCGAGGACACTCCTGGGTGTGTGTGAGAGAGACAGAGCGTGTCTACCTTTCTCTGTGCTGGACCTTTAATCCTTTTCACCCCAACTCCAAGATCGAGCCCCCACTCGTCCTCTCCTCCTCGACCCGCTGGGAAGAAAACATGACGGACGCAGCAACCAACATGCGGCTGAAGCTGCCGATCATCTGCTTCATCCTGGAGATCATCCTCATCATCCTCTTCGGCGTCTTGGTGCAGTACAACGAGGAGACGGATGCAAAGGAGTGGCATGAAACAAACCGAACCGACTATGAGAACGACTTCTACTACCGCTACCCGAGTAAGTGTCCTGTGGAGGTGTGTGCAGGGTCAGAGGTTAGTGAGGTTCAGGGGTCCCTAATCTGTTCAGATGAAGTATTTTGCAAGGTTTTCTTAAGAACCAGTGATAACATTACTTAAAAATGCCAACTTGATATGAATGGGCACTTGAACTGCTGCACATACCATTGCCTAAATAGGAAAGTCAGGATTTTTATCTTGCTTATTTATTGTTACCGACTTCTCAACAATACAAACAAGTGTTGATCTATATGTTGTTTCAAACGCTCATACGCTGGTCTCATATTGTAGATATGACACAGTTGTTAAATCAGGGAGCTTGTAACCTTTTCACACCTTAAGCTTGACTTCTCTGCTATCCATTAACAGTAGTAACAAGTGCCTGCTGCTTTTTGGGCGTGGACTCTTTCGTGTGTAACCCCTTTTCAGCGCTGAAGAATAATCTCAGTTTACTGTCATTTGTATTTCTAATGATGCTTTACTTGCTAACACCGATATTCTCTTCTCCATGCTCTCTCAGTCATTTTTACGTAACTGTAAGTATGCCATCCTCACACTTACCCCAACTCATTCAGACATTCAGAGTATTTGGGTTTTTGTCAATCTGTTAACGGGGGAATGTTTCAGTCTGTGTAAAATGATGAAAAGCTGCTGAGTCGCAGTGCAGCAGCCCTCTGTTGTCCCTAATTGGACGGGTCTCATTCTTTCTGAGTGAACATTTCATAGAGATGTCTTCCACTCCGCTGCTGTCCCATGGAGACGGATCCATTGATCATTCGTTTCCTGATTTATATGGATTGATGGTGTAGAATAAAAGCCATTCACAGGCTCGAGGGGAAGCAGGCTGCTCATTACTGCTTTCATTAAACAAACTGTATCTCCATTAAAACTTGTTGACTAGTCTTAACTAATCAATGTGCTGTGGTGTTGGAATTATAAAACATCAAACAACATAATGCCACAGATAGATCAATATCATAATTTTAAAATATAACATTTTAAATACTGAACATTTGCATTCGAACACTGTTCACTGACCCAGTCATCTCCTGGCAGTTCCACCTTAATATATCTACCTTAAAGACTGGTGGGCGCGTCTTAACAAGTCATTTAAGAGGTTTACCTGGGCGTTGCCCCTCTCTCCCTCTCTCAGGTGTGTTGGGTATATTGTGTCCTGGGCCAGAGCAAAGAATGGCGGGAATGTGGAGAGACGAATGCTTTCTTCTTACTTAACATTGTTTAAAAGTCATACAGCCTTCCTTCTGTGGATAACTATCTGTAATGATATCCTAGTCCTCTTCCTGTCAGTCACTCATCGGTTCACCTGCTTCTAACCTGAAGCTGCACTTCTTTCAGGGTTCATTGTTTCACCCAGCGCTTTAAAAATGATTCAAATGCACTCAAGTGGAGAATTAATATAGAGAGAAATTACTAATAAGAGAATAAATTAAAAAAAAATGCACAAAGTTACCAAAAAGTTTTTGTAGAACTCCACCAAGTGGGAAGTGGAAAATGTATCTGACCATTTCACACCCAATCATTCAACTGCAGATATGCATAAGAATGTTTTCTGACATTCAGACATTTAGTCACAGAGAAACAATTTACCTACTTTCACTTTGATTTCAGGACATAAGCTGTTTATGTGTGTTAAGAAGTTACTACTATAATGAAACACTGAAAATTCAGGTTCACATTAAAGCTCCAAACATGACCTGATTTGTTGGATACTAGAAAGTTTTAGAGGATTTAAATGAGTTGAACTTTGAAAAGGGAGAGAAAATGAATTCCATAACTCGTGCATGCTTTTTTTAAAAATGAAACTCTTAATATAAAGCATGGGGTAACAAGGTTATCAAAAGAAGTCCATAAACGCCTCTTGGTTGGTTTGCATACTGCTGATGTGCCCTGGAGCAAATGCAAACAACCTCCAGCAGGTGCTGCATCAACGCATGATGTTTGACCTCCGTTCTGTGCCTGAGCATGACTTCTGACATACTTGTTAAAGAAAGCCTTCAAGACGTTAAAGACGGACTCTATTATGAAAAACAACAGCTTTGGTTGTTAGTTCAAACTCCTTCAAGTATGTGGTTTTGTTCAGTGCCAGTGGAAATAGAGTTACATTGTTAAACTGTTATAAAGAGTCATATTTTCAACTACTATTGGGTGGATTGTCATAAAATTAAAAATTAATTTTGCAGATTATATGAACTATAATTATTCTAATAATTATTAATTTTGCTCTAGACTCGTCAGAATCACTAAAATCATTCCGCTTTACCAACAAATACTCCAACCCAAACGAGAATGAATGAACAGTTTGAGCGTTCTCGTTTTCAGTTTAAGTTTGATTAGGTTTAGGCAACTAAAACTACAACGTCGAGGTTAAAGAAAGCCCATGGTTATGGGTAAAAAACAAACTAATGTTGTCAGTTTGTAGAAGACAGGTGGTAATCTGCAGTCGCTCATGTCAAAGTCCAATATTTACTTATCACCCAACCATTCAGCCCAGCCCTTTTCCAGGACATATTGATACAACAACATCATGCAGGTTCTGCCCTTACTAGCACACACGAGTCATTATTTCCCCATCCAAAAGATAGAAAACATCAAACAACTGGTCCATCAGTTGTTCCACAGCACCAAACTGCAGAAGGTAACAGACCGTCTGAGGTTAGATTAATAATAAGAGCATAGAGCAAAGGTCCAACAGATTTAATGACTTCAGATAATCTTTAACCTGACACCTTCACTGTCACAGGAGCTGAAACAGAAGGTCACCTTCATGTTTCAGTGCTGTGTATACATAACCTACATCCATCATCCTTATTGCATGCCTGGAAAAAAACAGTACAATAAACAGAGAGGTTCACACTCTACAGGTGATCTCCAGCGCAGGTTAAAGACATACACACCTGACCATTTCTTTAAATCCATTGTGTGTTCTTACAGTCAAAGTATTGTCTGACCTATATGTTCTTGTGAGATAAGAATGGTATGTCAACTGAAAATGTGCCTTACAAATGTTGTGCAACAGATTACCTGAAGGTGAACAAGGCAGACAAGTGATGAAAGAGGCTGTGGTTTGATCCC